AAAATATTCAATTGTAGAAAAACTATAGTTGTTTAGTTAAGTTCAACAAGTCTTTGTACATAGCACGTCTTGTTGCCTCTCTACGACTATTTTGAACTATAATGGTTTCTTGTTGTTCTTCATGAATTTTAGTTACTTTCAGATTATGCTGATCATCATCGTCACTCATACAATCATCAGATTGTTTTGTTTGAGGGATGTTCAGCGTTGCAAACAAATCCGTGGTTGAATTTGGCTGATGTTGGAAAGATCGGTTCTTTTTTCTGATAGGAAACTGCAATTTATTTTCTCGTCTATATAGTGTAAAAGATATTTTGGCTCGTTTGGTTTTTCGAACGATCACCGATGGTATAAGAAGATTCAAACTTTTTTAGATATCGCGTTGATTTTTTTGTTGATACCACACTTGTCGTGATATTTCGCTCTGTCAAGGCTGAATTTTCGGCTCGATACTTTACCTTTGTTTTTGAAGACATTTTCGGCACTCTTTTACTCGGATAATTTCTATATTGAGATCTATCAATTTCTAATTCGACTTTGTCGCTATATTGTTCCACTTCTTTCATGCAATCTACTGACATTTTTCGCAGCGCGAAAGAATGATTCTTTCGCCGCGAAACTGTCAGTAGATTGCATGAAAGAAGTGGATGTACGTGTCACCGTTGTTATCCAGAAATTTTAAAGGCTTGTTCGATCAAAACTGACCGGAAATTCGTCTTTTTGATAGTCGATTACAGGGTTCTGAAATTCGGTGACTAATGGGGTAAGCTATAAGTTTTATATTGGGATATTTTAGAAAAAATTTGCGACAATTTTTCAATCTGCTGATTTCTGGCTGTGCAACATGTGCATGCAACAAATTGTCTAACAATACTAAGAGAGTGCACACTTCTAAGGAATCTTTTTAACCGATGGAGTGGTTTTTGTATACTCTTGTATAGTATGAGGAAGAGAATAGAAATCGCTATTTTCTTTTTAGGTCATTCCCATTAGCGACGATATTCAGTAGAGTCCGCTAATTTACCGGAGATTGAAAATCAGTTTTGAAATAAATTTTTACTAGGATTTTGAGAAAGTGTGAAGAAGATGAACGTTTCACTGTCTAAGACAAATCCAAATAGTCGAAGGTTAAGCCTGTTCGGTGTCGTTTATACATTGGTCCATTATCACTGCCTATCATTGTATAACAAGTTGGTTTGTCGTATATGAGATGGCAATCTTCTGCTCAGTTAGACATTCTTCTGAGTAAAATAAAAACAGATTTGGAATTGTTTTGAGCTTTCATCGTTAGTGCCGTATTCATCTACTTGAGTCTCAAACATGTATCAATCGCTAGTATTTCTGGTTGCTTTGTTTGTTATTAGTCAGTGTAGTACTGATTATTTCGTCGAAAAATTCAACGGTGAGAATCAACACTGAAATACTGTAGGACTCAGTGTTAATTACTTTTGCTCTTGTTAGATGGTGATAAGTGGACAAAACGATGGGTCGAATCAACAGCAAAGGGTGAACAACAAGGCAAATTTAAACTAACTGCCGGAAAGTTCTATGGAGATAAAGAAAAAGATAAGGGTATTCAAACATCAGAAGATGCAAGATTTTACGGTGCATCAGCCAAATTCGACAATTCATTTTCAAACGAAGAAAAAACATTGGTGATTCAATTTACAGTTAAACACGAACAAAAAATCGATTGTGGCGGTAAGACGCATCATAGTTAATAATTTAATAAACTTACAACTATTAATCAAAATTTTATCTAGGTGGTTATATCAAGGTTTATCCATCAGATGTTGACCAAAAGAATCTTCATGGTGATTCTCCATATCTTATTATGTTTGGTCCTGATATTTGTGGTTATAGTACGAAAAAAGTTCATGTTATTTTCACATACAAGGGAAAAAATTTATTGATTAAAAAGGATATCAAATGCAAAGTAAGGAGATATCCTCATTCGTATAGCTTCTGTCATTTATGTAAGGAAGATTTTTATCTTTTACCACACTTTTTAGTGACAATATTTTTGTTATTACCTCAGCATTCAGAACGTTTCATTTCGATTTTTTAATTTCCGTGAACAGATCAAAAAAGTTGTTGTTTGACCATCCTAATTATCTCTAAAAAAAACTGTCTACCTTTCGTAGGCAAAACGTGCTATTGCTTTTATTTCAACATAACATTCAGTTTCGTCTTTTAGGATGATGAATTGACACATTTGTATACATTGATACTTAAACCTGATAATACCTATATCGTGAAAATCGACAATGAGAAAGTAGAAAGTGGAACATTAGAAGAGGATTGGGATTTCACACTACCAAAAACAATCAAAGATCCATCGGCATCAAAACCATCCGATTGGGACGATAATGAAAAAATTGATGATGCGAGTGATGTGAAACCAGCCGAGTAAGTCAATCATTTATTAAAACGATCTCTTTTTTTCGAATTTTTTATCTAATCGTTGTATACTATTTGATTTGTTTAGTTATGATAAACCGGAACATATTCCAGATCCAGAAGCTAAAATACCAGAAGATTGGGATAACGAGATTGGTACGTTTGTGTGAGTGTGCGTTTTATTTTTGAGAATACTAAATATTCTTTTTGTAGACGGAACTTGGGAACCACCAATGATGGATAATCCAGAATATAAAGTATGCAGAGCATTCTTTTCTCCTACTGGAATAATCGTAGTGTTATTGCTTTTATGTGTAATTTAGGGTCAATGGAAACCGAGACAAATTGATAATCCAGCATATAAAGGCGCATGGGTACATCCAGAAATCGATAATCCAGATTATGTTGAAGATAAAAATCTTTATTTATTCCAAGATATTGGTGCTATTGGATTCGATTTGTGGCAAGTAAGTAGAATAGACAATTCAAGTTGAAATAATGTGTTTATGATATTTTTCATGCTAATTTAGGTGAAAGCTGGAACAATATTCGATAATATTTTGGTTACTGATGATGAAAAACATGCAGAAGATTTTGGAAATGAAACTTGGGGAAAAACAAAAGTGAGTAAACGAAGAGAAGGAAATATCTCTTATCGGTATTCTTTTTAATCTCATGAACAGGATCCAGAAAAAAAGATGAAAGATGAACAAGAGGAAGCTGACCGAAAGAAAGAAGAAGCCGAACGTAAAAAGAGAGAAGAAGGTTTGTTGAGATGATTAAGCATTGTTGAATAATTTGAAGTCAATTTTCGCTGTGTCATTATTTAGAAGAGAAAACGAAAGAATCAACCAAATCAGACGATAATGATGACGACGATGAATCCGATGATACAAAAACAGCGGAGAAAGATGAATTGTAAAAATCATCAGTGTTGATAATGACCCTCTTCTCATTCATTCGCTACTGTTACATTCCCATGTCAAATTGATACAATCCATATAGACAACCGTTTTTTCTAATCTGAGTCAGTTGTTAAAATAGCCCTGTGAATCGCCTTTTTTGTCCTTTGCTATTAGTAAATTCACAACCCATTCTTGTTGTTATAAATATTCGTCTTATGTACTGTCATACAAAAACTTATATAAATTATTGTAACTTTGTTTTTATTGATTCTCATAAATCTGTTTTTATTTGTAGTTGGTTGGTTTGTTTTCTTTTCATAGACTCTTTCCTAATTATTATATTTGAGTTTGACACAAAGAAACATTTTTATTTCTATATTTATAGGCAAATGATGGTCAATTTCTTTTCGTCTTTCTCTGTTGTTGCTTTTTTATGCTAGAATATTTGATTGTTGGACCAAGAAAAAATTGTATGGTCGATCCGCTCTTAGCAAGAGTGTCAAAGCTTCAGAATATAAGCGCATTTTTGAAAGACAAAAATGATGTTGTTTTTCTTGTTATCTTTATTTTTTTGTTTTCTAGTTTGTTTTTAACAAGTTTATTTCGTTTTGAATTTTTTTTAAAACAAAAAAAAAGTCTTTTCGCCTATTTTTCGTTCGATGACGCTTTATTGTTTTTTATATTGTTTGTTGAAGCAAGATATTTGAAAAAGAAAAGATATTTTGACAAGCAAATATGTCTGAATTTCGGTACTGAATTTCAAAAAAAGAAGACAGTAATTTCTTCAAATGGGAAAGATCATTGTGCATTTAGAGTCTGTTCAGCGGTGATTGTCTGTGTGCGTGTATAGAATATGAAGTCGCAATTCTGTGTTTTGAAGCAACTAATTTTTAGTTGTACATAACAAAAACGAGTATACTCTATCAATTGTATGGCCTTAAGACGTTGTCACACTGCGTCATTTTCTCAGCTACAAAAGTGTACAAAATCGACTGATCTGACAAGAAGATTTTATATGAAATGTGAAACTCGACTTGATACAACTCTAATTTAGTATAGTTTAGTTTAGTTTTTAAAACTAAACTAAATTAAAGAAGATTCCATTTTTCTTCTCCTTTGATCATACGTCTCTTAGATTAAAAAATAAAAATTATTGCGTCATTCTACATTACCAAAACTGTTGTACTCAAAAACTCCACGGTTTTAGGTTTAGTTGCAATATATTTTTGATGACGTCAAATGACTCGACATGTTGTTGCGTCCTGATATGTACATGAGTAATACTATTAGATACCATTCTTTGATATTATGAAGATAAATCGACTACTATAATACAAAGAGAAAAAGTCAGAAAATTCTAGAAAAAGTGAATCGACATGTTGAATATCGACCTTGATTTAGAAAAATCGAAAGTTTTTTATTGTCTTTTTCTAATTCAGCATGAAAAAATGAGTCGCAAAACATTGATTAATCAATGTTTTGCGACTCATTTTTTCATGCTGAATCAGAAAAAGACTGTTTGAAGCCTTTAGAAGAAATAGAAAAGACGAAAATTCGAAATTTTTTAAAAATATTGAGTTTTTTCACGAACTATAAAAAACTTTCGATTTTTCTAAAATCTGAAACCACCTTTTTCTTACTCAGCTCGACGAGCTCTATCCAACCATATATAAATAAAAATGAAAGAAAAACCCATTTGTTTGGGTAATCATTTTTGAACATGTTCATAAGTCAATGTCGCAATTACCAATTTTAAACATGTTACTCTCTTGGAACCTTTGGAAAACATGCAAAAATTAATTGTCGGATATAAAACAATGCAGATGTTGGAAAAGGACATGTCAGGCCATTCAGTTGTATGGAAAACTCAGAATAGATTGCTCTTCGATCAAAAGTCGATTTCCTAGAGCTGATTCTCCTTTAAAGAACAACTTTAGGTGACTTTGGATCTAGAATACTTATTTTGATATATGCAATATCCTTTTTCTTGAATCTTTGTTTTTTGCTTGAGGGAATATAACAGAACGCTAGAGAGTATTATATAAAGACTATCTTGAAGATAAACTTCCTATGAATAAACGGTTGAAGTTTGGGAAATAGAGCAGAGATTTGAGGATTTGATGATTAGAAAAACACCAGAAACAGTTGTTCTGGCATGACTAACAATAAAAAACAAATCCTTGAGATCTTTCAGTTATAAAGAAAAAGATTGTTGTAGAAAGCAAATGCGATAAAGTCTGGAAACATTTGCTGCCTTGTATTGTTAAGTAACTCAAAAACCACCAACTTAAAATTAAAAATTATGTACCTTGACGATGCAACATGCATAAAATAAAAATAATCTTTTACTATGACATTGAATTCAATCGTGAGACTTGACATGTGACACAGCAAAATCTTGGCTAGGTTTAAAGGAGGCAACCTTCCTTCTCAATTAGATTGTAAACTGTGAAATGATTACTAAATGAAGTCTGCTGTTCGTGTGCTTAGAGAACTATAACGTCCGTATAAAACTATGTCTTGACAGCTTGGAGTGTTATAGATAAATAATTTTGGTTAACAATGGTTGACACATCGCTTGACATGGAAGATTACTATTGTAGTGTTTGCCGTGAGATTTTTGATAATCCCGTTTCATTACCATGTTCACATTCATTTTGTAAAAAATGTTGTTCTATGTTGAAAGATTCATCATCATTAACACCAGCAGCAGCAAATCATGAACAATATCGTTGTATGTTATTATTTCACAAAGTGCTCTCTTATTTTATCGCTGGAAATAACGCTATTATCAGCTTTTATTATCTAGTCTTGGCACGCACCATTTACAGTATTCTTATACATTTTTTACGTGCAAAATAAGGCACTTTTGTTGTCGTGAAGCAATTGAAGGTGCTATTTGTTTTAGGCGCTATTTGTCGTGAAGTCGCTTCGTCATTTCATTGTAACCGTGAATTAGATGAAAGACTTTCAACAGTAGAAGTACCTTGTCAATATTGTTCAAAATTCTTCATACTCAAAGAATTACAAAAGCATATGGAAACATGTACAGCACGCAATGATTCTAAGCCACCATCAAGACCAATCGTTCATTTATCCAAATCTTTATCCGAAAATCAACAAAAAGCACTTGAACAAGCTCAAGCTGGTGAAAATCGTTCAACGTTTACATGTGAGTTATTCATTTAAAACTAGCTATAGCGATATTACGTATCTATATATTTTAGGTCCATTTTGCCCGACATTAAATTTAACATGCACAGATCTTAGTCAGCATATTAAAAACCATCATATACATGAAGATCAACGACGAGTATGTAAGTATTGATGATTCACTGCACGTAACGTATCTAACATTAACAAGCGCTGTTTTTTTAAATATTGATTATAGGTCCTGTTTGCAGTAGTATGGTCAGTAGCTTTTAATGTCATACTTTTCTGTTGTAATATATTTTCTTCTGTTTAGCCATGGGGTGACAAGACGATGGTGTCCTCGAACGTTTATCAACATATCACTCGTAGACATCAGTTTGACTATAGTAAAGCCTATTATAAGTTACTCTTGGTTACTCAAGAATGAATATTTGTTCTCTATTATTTTTTTAGATACATTTGTCAATTATACACAAGACGAACAACAAATGATGGATGATGCTATTCAAGCATCACTAAAAGAATATGCTTCACATCAAAACTGAATTAAATTATATCATCGCAGTCACAATAGTAATGAACTATTATATTTATTTTTTTTCGTTAGGCATTTTAGAAATGCTGGTCTACTAGTTTGAAATACTTTAAATCTTTCTTTTGTTGCTCAAAAAGTACAAGAAAATATAATAAAAAGTAAAAACATTCTGAAAAGTATTTACGCGGATTTTGGTACGACAAACTAATTAAGGAAGGCTGCACCCTCTATATGTGCCATCAAACTATGTTAGTTTGAAGAGGACACCTGATTACATATATTCTTAAGTTTTTTCGATGAACTGATAACTATTCACAGAGTGATTGATTAATTAAGTTTAAATTTTGATTAAAATTTAAAGTCCTAGCCCTCATTTTAAAAACCTCGTAGCTCAGTCAAAAATAATCGTACAAAAGTCACTCTTTCATTACTTGATAGCCAATGGTCTGTTGTTATAGTTTGGTGAAAAAAGTTTTAAAAAGAGTTTTTTTAAGACAATAATTTATAATTAATGAATACTAATTCACATCACTCTGATGCTTTACACTTTTATTTTCAAATTAATGGTTTATTGGAAATGGTGAACTAATACGTCATTCGACAGAGATTTCCAAGCGCTACAAATCTCTGTATTTGCCTTTTCAAAATGTTACCGATAAGCAGTTGTTTGTTCCCGGTTTTAGACATCCGGGGTTTCTACTATGGATTTCTCAATACAGCAGTCATGTATGTTTTTGGAATAACTCGAAAACGAAAAGAGATAGAGAGTTCAGGCTTCCACCATTTTGTAGAGACTGCTTTACTCTATCTTCATATATATTTTGCATAAAAATCTCGGTTTTGTAGGTGGTGTACCTGGCGGATGAAAAGAGATGAGGCTTCCAGATTCTGAAACTGCGGTGGATTTTTAATCGTAACACGGTGGCAAGATAGCCGAAAGTATTCTGCACAATTCTACGCATAGCCGATCTCTCTATCTGTTATGGTTCTCCCATGGCAAACATTTTCATGAGTCACCCGTAATTCGTTACGATTTCGTCTGGTAACCTCAGAAATAAATTAAATGGAAACATAGGTTATCGACCATTCATTAATTATAAATTATTGTCTTAAAAAAACTCTTTTTAAAACTTTTTTCATCAAACTATAACAACAGACCATTGTCTATCAAGCAGTACAAGAGTGGCTTTAGTACGATTATTTTTGACTGAGCTACAAGGTTTTTAAAATGAGGGCTAGGACTTTAAATTTTAATCAAAATTCAAACTTAATTAATTAATAACTCTGTGAATAGTTATCAGTTCATCGATAAAACTTAAGGCTATATATAATCAGGTGTCCTCTTCAAACTGACAGGTTTGATGGCACGTATAGAGGGAGCGGAGGCCCCTCCTCCTTCTTAACTGCTGTGTGAAATTCTTGCCAAAGATCCTGCAATAACGACGCATAACGGAGTAAAAATCTTGGTACAAAAATATGCAAAACAGTCTACTGCAGGGGGGTAACTAGAGGTGTCACTTTAGCCTTCTTTACCAAGTGATAAATAATAAAACTTATTAGTTATTATCAAGAAACAAGTAATAAATCTTATTACCTTATTACTTTTTTCAAGTAATAATCTTTTATTACTTTACTTATTACTAATAAGAAAGTAATAAAAAGTAATAAGTAAAATAATAAAAAATGATTACTTGAAAAGTAATAAAACGACAAGATTTATTACATTTTTATCGGTAATAAGTAACAAACGCTTATTACTTTTACCGGATAATGTACTAATTAGTAAAAGTAAAGTAGCATCCCGAGGGGTAACGTTGACTGTTTTTTAGAGTTAATGGAAAAACCTTGAAAAAAATCAAATTTAAAATAGATGAAAGAAAATTTTGGAAATCACCTAACGTTATCCCACCGCAATCGGTCATTGCGCACAATTTTTGTATCAAAAGTTTTTTTCACCATCCACCAGCATTTTTGACAAGGTTTTTTTTAAAATACTGTTCCATTTCTCAGTAAAAAAATATCAGGGGGGCGGGGTAGGACCCAGATTTTATGCTCAGTACCGTGTAACTTACTGAGTTCTTCACCTAGTCGTCTGACCAGCTTGTCTGAAATTTCCTGTGATTTTCTAGCGCGTCTTGTCATTGTGCATTTTTATCAACAGGAGCACCAAAATCGATTAAAATTGAAACGGTTTGCAACGTCTATAGATTATAAGATAGATCTCCTAGTTTGCAAGATATATCAGTGCGAATATACTGTTACCGACTCGTATAACTTATAATCTCACCCTCTGTCTTCTGATACATAAGTACTATATAAGATGTATCAATCAAATGTCTTCTCTTCATTATTGCCGAACGCTTTAGCTATATATGATAGATGGCATTTGTCAGAATATTGGCATATATGACTTTGCCAAAACTAATATACATTCACATGCTTGTGTTTATTTTCAAGTTGAGAAAAAGCAAAATTTTGTAATAATATATTACAAAAAAAAATGAACAATACGTAAAAAGAAGAAAGGCACAGTAAAAAGTATGTTAGAAGTAATGTACATATAATGCGAACAAAATAAGAAAGCAAACTCGTATTTGACAAAAACAATACAAAACAATACATTATTTAAAAAGAATCAATGACAAATTTTCTTAAGAAGGAAATGACTGTAAGTTTTGATTTCCGGCAAGCATATAACGTCGATAAGGCCGATAGGGAGGTCTATTTACATCAAAGTTATCTTCACCTGTTATGGATGAAATGAGATGCACTTGTTCATCGGCCCATCCTTAAATGAAATGCTGAGTGAAAATGTTATATAATAAAAAACGAAAAAATAACCGTTACACTAACGGCATCCGAATATGAATAGTTCTATAATGTTTATTATTAATATCTAAAGAAGAACCGTCATAAATTCAGATTTACCAGCATCAGGACGATGATACGTTTCCAAGCACAAATCACCACCGGTGTTATCATCTACCTCGTCGTCTGCATCGTCATCATTATTATCAGGAATATTTTGCATTACCCATTTTTTATAAAATTTAGAAAATCGTTCGTAATGCGCTACCGAAACACGTTTGTGGCACTAGAAAAAAATTGAAAGACTTAACTTAAGTAATTTTTAGCATATTGAGATTTTGTACTGACAACGCTCAGCAAAATTGTACTAGTTGGTGATATAATTAATTAACTAATCTTAGAATGTTTATCGCACAAAAAAATACAGAAATCATGTTTCTAATACCTGTTTTGCTGCTCGTAATGCTCCTCGTTTGTAGTAAGTAAATCCAGCTTTATGATAAGGTGTACGTTTTAAATTTTTTCGTTCTACTATACAGTAATCATTGTTGTGTTGTTCAGTCGTCGTAGGAGTAATGTTTGTTTGTGGTTGCTCTTCATTCTCTTGCTTCGTTACAACTGAATCCGATCGAGATGATGATTTTCGAAGATTTCTAAAACAGCGAGAGTCTACCAGATTCGTATATGACATACCAATAGAAGATTATCTACCTGAGTAAAAATCTCGATTTCTTTCTTAATCGTATTCGTATTCGTTCATTCAAATTTTCGTCCGTGTTATTATTAGTCTGTAGATAATTGTCAATGTAACGCGACCAATTTTCAAATGTTTTTTCATCTTCCTCATCGTCGGATGAATCGATCACAATCAGTGTTGTTGTTACACGTCGGTCATTTTTATACTTTAATAATAAAAAAAAAACACAAAATACTAAACAAACAGATACAGATAGACATGGCAGTCGATCAACTTATTGGCGACAACGGCTTGAAAATGTTGTTATAAATTTTATTTAAAATAGAAAAAGAAAAAAAACCAAGAAAAACCTGAGGCACGTTATATCAGTGATTGTAGGAGCCTCACAAATGAAAAATAGAAGTGAATAGGATATGTAAAAATGAGTAAGCAGGTAAACAGTTAGGAAGCTACGAGAGAGCGATGTTAGAATAGTAACATACGGTAAACATTATGTAGTTCGAGAGAGACACCTTCGGTTTAAAAATATAGTAAGAAAGAAGTGCACAAGTGAGGATTAAGCGATGTAATTAATGAAAACGTTATGCACCAGTAATGAAATCACAAACTGAATGGTATACAAATGATTGCATGTTTTTGTGTAAATTCGTCGTCAAAAGAACTGATAACCAGTTCACATTATTTTAAAAAGAACGTTCAGCATTTCCCGTTCTTAGGAACGAGAATGGCTAGCCAGTTCTTTCCATCAGTTTCCAAGAACTTTAGAAATTAGAACTGTCCCACCCCTATTCATTCCTATGTTTTATCAATCAATCATAATTTCCGCATTTACGATCGTTATTGTTAGCTAGCGTATATCGTTAGAGGGATCACCAGTATACTAAAAACAACTGACATAAACTTCATGAACTTAGTTTCGACAGTTTCGATTTTGAATAAATCAATAAAATATTAGTTCATCTTGCAGAAGATTTCCTTTTTCATCTCCTATGTAAAGTGTTCCCTCAGTCACTCTACTTCGCTTCACTCACCAGTGAGGCTTTTATTAGTCTAAATTCAGATTTTTCGACTATCACGAAAAAGTCCACAATTCAACCGATGGAAGAGGCAACATTTTTTTGAGTATACAGAAATATAGAGCAAAGATTTTCTAAAATCTCTCCATAGGGGGATAGAGAAGAAAATTCTTGAGAATATAAACTAATACTTAATTAATTTACTCAAAATTGAAATTAATCGATTATTTAAAGTTAGTCTCACTAGCAACCGGCAGCTTCTCGAAAATTTTTCGCCTTCCGTGACTGTGGCTCAAAAAGTGATCATCTACCATGTCTAAATTTAAAGTTACATACTGAACATATTCTGAAAAATCGGTTGTTGTCAGTGAACGGTTCAATTTCTTTTTGATAACTCAACTCTGAATTTTGTTGTGATGTTGAAAACAAATGATCAACAAGCCCAATATTCACACCTAGTTGAATATTTCTCAAATATAGGTCCATAATGCTAACTGACGCTTCATCTTGAACGATTGAATGTAACTAAAAAGAGTAGAAAAAAAGATTTGTAGAAATCTGAATTTTACTCTGACTTGTTTCGGTACCTGTCTAACACAGTTATGTATGATTTTATCCATTGTGAATGCTATATAAGCATGAATACCAAACATGTCACGTAGTGAATCTTCGTACGAAGAACCGTCCATGTTACCATCTAATAAATTACGAACCATATCCAAAAAAGTGATGTAGAATTCTTCAACGGGTACGCTGGCTAAAAAATCAAAATGGTGCAAAAACAGTATCAGCTAGGAAGGGAAACTGCATAAATAGAAGTTGGAAAGCTAATAAAACTTTTTTGTCAGGATAGCAGACAAAAGAGAGGAGAATTTAAAAAACTTGCTCTAGTCACACAAGCTTGGGACCTACGTTTATTTGAAAGTCTCAGTAGTGTGGCTGTTGATGTTCTATTTCTATTGTTACTATTATCTTTCAACTCTTTTGATTCTTGTTCAATTAAACGTAATGATTGTTGATAAATTTTCAGTAAACGTTCACATAATAATTGATGTAAACGAAAAAAATAATACCAATTATCATTTACCAAAAATAAACGATACATATCATCCTAGAAAATATCAAATTGTACTGATTAAAAGAGCACTAGTGAAAATCGTCTACCTACCGCTGTCTGTTGTGGTATTGCTTTTGGTTTTGAAACAGATTCAGTATTTCGTCGACGATTTGCATCTGTATGATGACGCATTGGACGAGATTTCTTGTCTTTTCTATTATTGTTGTTGTTATTTTCTGGTTCTTCATCTTCATCGTCTATGATGAAGAAAAAACAGATTTTAGACGTGTTATTAATATGTCGTAAGTTATTTTAGTATTTCAATTGTCCAAAACTCTGGAGACAACATTATTGTATAGAAGAAAACTGATCTTTACCTTCTTCATCATCCGATAAATCGCCACGTGGTGAGAATAAAAAATCGGGGAGAAATTGATACATAATTTCTTTGATTTTTTGTTTATCTTCTTTTCCAAAGCCCACTTGCCTTTTAACGAGAAATACAATTAATGATGCAGCATCATCTAATATCGATAAGTCTTCGTGACGGAAACTTAAATGTGGTTGGGTTATATTTGAATTGAATTGTTGTTCGCGCTACAAATAAAAACATCAAATTAATGCTAAAGGATATGATGGTTGAAACAATAACCACATACGTCTGTTCTAACATTTTCTATCTCATTTAATAGATGGCGATTTCGAATTATTCTTGCATCATTATTTTTACAATTAATACCCATATGATCAAGTGATTTCAAATAGAATTTTTCCGATTGTTCTTTCCAAAATCGTTCAAAATTCTTTTTTGCTTCACGCCATTCTTCATCTTTCGATTTCAGTCTAAAGCGAACAAAGTCATGATTCAAGCAATGCAAGTAAGTTGTTTAATAAACGTACCGTCTAAGTACAATGGGTACAGCTACTCGTGGATTTCGTTTTAAACCATCAATGATTTCATTTGCACGTTCACCATAAATTCGTTGTATGGCTTGTCGTTGTGTAAAAGCCGATTGACCGCCTAGTTCTTCACCTAATTGAAATGTATTCAGCTGATCTTGTGTCATTGTATTCATATGCATCTGAACGCTTTCTAATGCTCTTATAGTACTTAAATTCACTTCCATAACAATATCAAGCTAAAATGAAGACACAATCATCGATGATTAAAATATTTTTCGTTGTATTCATAAAGCCAACATACTTCAAATCTTTCATCTTCTATTTTGTACATGTGTTCTTCGAATACAGTTTTTTTTGCAGCAACGGAGGACGATTCATCAGTAAACGTAGGAAATAGAACACATGTATCATTCAACACCTAAATAAGCAGAGCAGTCATTTATTAAGAGAATAACATATCAGTCAAACAGACAAACCTCTCGACACAATGGTGTTCGTCCACTACACTGTGGCGGACTATATGATTTTGGTACAGCACGATAACTGGTGCCTTGTTGTGTACATGATGAGTAATCTAAATACGAAAAATGTTAACACTAACTCGAATCAGTATGTAAAAGATAGAATACTATCGTTCATACCAATATCAATTAAACCATCATTTGGATCAGAAATACTCTTTGGTATAATCACTTCACCTGGTTCTCTTATATTGATTAACTCTTGAAACGTTCGTAATAATTCTGGGAAATGACTTGACACAAAAAAAGAATCTACCTTGTTTACTTTACATCACCGGAAACCAAAAGAAATACTCTTACCCTAAATATGATTGAATTAATTCAACTAATTCGACTTTTGTAATTATTCGTTTTGTAAATAATAATATACAACGAAGAAAATTATCAAATACAAGTGGGCTACGCAATGTTTTTTGTACCTAAAAAAACCTAAAGTTGATTATTCCATTAAAACATATTAGCAAACATGCTTACTTTATCAAAGAAGGCTACTTCATCAATCGTTGGCATTTTTTTCACTTGTCCAGTTGAATCAACCGTATTACTACCAGAAACACCAATATTAACACCGTTTCCGATATTTGTTAATGATAAACGTTTCTTTTTGACAGTGGCTAGTGGTTTAGATGATGCTGGACGTTTACTACTTGGTGTAGACTTGTTTGTGCTCGTATTTGTTGGTGTTTGACGTTGGCTGGTTGTACTCGCCCGTTTAGTACTTGCGACTATAGTTGATGCAGAACTAGTATTAGCGATCGTCGTTGTTGGTGTTTTAGGTCGAGCAATTGTTTCGGCTTGTGTTAATGATGAAACTATTGGTGGTATGACGGTAGATGTTGATAACGAAGAAGCAAGACTGAATGATGGAGCCGACGATAAAATAGCAAGTGAAGTTAACGGAGTCAGCAGACAACTTGTTGATGGTGCCGTTGTCGAGGTAATATTTGGTGCTGTGGTCAAAAACGATGAACTGATTGTACTTGTTGTTGTTGTTGTTGACAAAATTGAGGCAGATGAAACTGGATTATTTGTGATTATTTTTGGTATAGTAGAAACTGGTGTTGAAATAAATGCTGGAGGCGTCGCACCTGAGGATGATAAGATATCAGATATTGAATTTGTACGCTCCTACAAGAAAAAAAGTTTTTCAGCTTACAGAAAATCACAAGTCAGACCAATGTCACTATCTAGTACAATGAAGAAAGTATATCATGTCGAGCGAATAAAGGAGACCAATAATATCAAACACGAATCATACAGTTAAGTTTTAATGGAAGAAAGTTGTCAGAAAAAGATTTTTCAGAAACATACTTTTACGCTACAGACGTCTGTTTTTGTTGTCTAATAAAGGGGTTAAGATTAAACAGAGTAGCATCTTTTAAGTTCGATAAATGAACGCTGTAAATGTCGACTTTAGAGTGCTTCTTTGCTACTGCAAAAGCTTAAAGTGTTTATTTTTCTTTATTACTCCTATTACTACTAAACTATTTTGTGGTGAAAAAGATCAACAGCTCATTTACCATTGGTTGTTGTGTAGCATCCGGCAAAAACTGACTAAATTCTACTAATAAATCTTCATGATTTGTAAACAGCTGAGCTACTTTAGCGTAAACTTCTGTTTCAGATAGTAGTGGCGTTTGACCGCTTGATGGACTACCGCCATGGGACGAATACATTAATGCGCCAAGTGCGTTGCCACCCCCATATTCTTTAGCATCTTTCTGTTGTTTCTGATAAGTATGAAGTATTTCTAAAAAGTGTTTATATATATCGGGTTGTTGATGAAAACGATTTTTGATTTTATTAACGTAGTTGATTGCATGATTGAATTCGACAGGTTGTCCAGAATTTGAATTTGATGTACTTGTAGGAATGGGCGTTGTACTTGTTGCCGATGTTGGTGTATTCGTTTGCTGAGATGGCAGTTGTTGGGATTTTTCTTTTCCTTTGGTGATATTTAACGTAGGTGATGATGTAGCGGCGGAAATTAGAGCATTGACAGCTTGTGAGGTACTACTGCTACCAATTGATGGTACAACGGCACAAGGTGTTGGTGGTCGTAATGTCACTTGGCCAAGTGCAGCAAATGAATTTGTAGTTGACAGAGGATCAAATGATGACACTGTTGTCTCATCTTCATCTTGTTGAAGCAAAAGATTTGCTGTTTGTCTCAATGGTGATGTTATTATTCTCGATGATAGATTAATTGTATTCATTATATTTGAATGATATGTGGGTGTAGCAGAATTTGGTGTTGTTATACAAAGGCTAAAGTGCAAAAGCAAAAATATTAGTAGATTTGAGAAAAAATGTTTCTTGAGGGCATGATATGAAGAAATTCATTAAACTCCTGTTTTCTGAAGGATCTGACGAATTTTCCAGCTGAACATGAATTAGGCATCTTTTTTCAGAAATCGTGCAATCCTGGAGCCATAAAAAAAGGCTTACCTATAGTTTGTAGTTGTTGTACCATTACCACCGATTGTTATTGATTCTGTACGCGACGACGGATGTGTAACTTGAATAAATGATGGATGATCGTCAGATACTTCAATTTTATAACCTGGAGGAAGAAATGTATTAAAACCAACAATCAAATCTGGATGACCATGAAACAGTCTTGACACTCGATTGATAACTTCTTGCGTATCGATTGATTGTGATTTAAACTCTTTCATAATATCCAAAAATTGATTATAGACTTGTGGCTGCAGTGAAAATTGGTTTTTCACCTTGTCCAGGTAATTGAGTGCATCCTCCACTTTCAGGCGCTAAAATGACAAAAATTTTGATATAATTCGTTAAATGTCGCTGACTAACCTAACACTTACTGATGATATCGAAGATGGCTGATTCCCTGGCTGATATGCGGTTATGTTCGGAAGAAGATGGACAGGTGAAGGAGAGTTTTGTAGACTAGAAACTATAGCAGCAGCGGCTTGAGGTGATGGACGACTAAATCAGAAACTCATTTAAAGAAACAATAATTTCTACAAAAACGGACGTACTTGGATGAACCGTTAACAAGAGTTGAAACAATCGAATTCAAGCCCTAAAAATAAAACAAAAAAAATGAAATCAATTCTGACATGCTAGCTCAAGCTACATTTAATACCGTACCAAATTAGAACTGTTTGAAGAGGTTGGTATCATATAGACGTTTTAATGCTTATAAAACGCAAGACTCTTGTACACCAATAAAAATGAAAATATGGATAAAACAAGAATCTGAAAATTAGATAGTATTGATTAAAGTTTGCTGAAAAGCGGCGTCTTCTATCAGCTTTGAGAAAAAACAACTTTTCTTTCTAATTGTATTAAAATTGATTCAGAACACGAGAACTTCTGTTCTTCATAAATTCTAGTAATTTGACGACCATCTCATGCAAAAATGACCCAATTTGGATCATTTATCTAGATTCAGTTGCATGTTTTACCCTGTGGGATATTCTCGTAAGGATCTCTCCCCTTCCCCCTTATCGGGACACCCCTAGACAATATGTAAACCAACGATGGATGATGACTGAGTTAGATTAGTTAAACTTTTAGATGTTACGTTCATTGCGTGGGATAACAAAGATTTCAATAATTCCATCAAATAATAAGAAAAGGAAGAAAATGAAATGCTATTTCGTCTTTGTTCGGAAACTTGGAACACTGAATGTGTGTAGTTGTGGAAAATCTTTTTTTGTTCCCTTTTTAACATCTTTCGAACTGAATTAACCTGATTGTTTTGTCATTTTCATCATATTGCGCACTTTATGAATCTTCAGCTATATGTAATTTGAAATTTAGCAGCTATTCAAAGCTGTTATTGTTAGGTAGCTTCTGACAGAAAAAAATGAGTTCAGGAAAAGCGAGTCACAAAAAGTTCCTTACCTAATAATAACAACGACTCAAATCAAACTATCAAATAGTAAGCATAAGAACAAAACAAAAGGGGAACCAGAGTATGCAACACGATGTAATGGTAGATTAAACATAAACAAAAATAAAATTAAAAGAGACCAACTAACACGGTTCTGTTGTGACTAGAAACATAACTGAATTTTACTTCTAGAATAATAAACTGATTTAATATTGCCTGTTTTTATACTGCCACATTGTAAGTTTGCACATTTTCGGACTTAATGGCTAGCTTTTTCGAAATATCCTACTGTTAACGATTAATTCACGGCTATTTTTGACAGTTAGTGGAAAGTAACCAATAACAAACAAAAAGCATGTGCTGTGTACATATAAATATAATAATGATTAGCCGAAATTTGGTTAATAGAAATGATACAATAGAGAACTTCATGGTGATTGAAACTTTCGCAGGCTTCGGTCCCTATTTTTTGGCAGTTATAATGTTCTTAAGAAGATTCTACCTTTTAGGGAAATAAAAATGCTCATTGAAACACGTGATCGTATCTATTAGGATGCGGCAAGTGTCGAACTCTATTACGCTTTTGGTGAGTTACTATTGCACCGATTTCGGCTAATCATTACACCGTAGTGCATTGTATCACTTATTGTTCGGTGTTTCAGTCACCACTAGTGTAGGCAGTAATATGAGGTTTGAGTGACGAAATTTCAACTTGAAAACAGTGAAGAAGTGACTACCTTTCTACTCACTGTCGAGCATCGAGGATTTATTAATTGGAGTATTATCGTGAACAATATTTAATACTCTCATACGTTTATAAAAAGGTGAAACCAAAGTCTACACTAAATAAACGCTACGATCGCCGTACAATTCTGAAATTTCAGGTTGATTTGACCGTATAAAAATAAGGGCATTCTCAGCGTTGCACAGGCTCTTTTGGAAAAGTGATGAGTTTTTCAAGCTTTTGCTCAAAGGCTGAAATAACCTCCAGCATCTTTTTTTTCATACAGACGACAACTGAACTAAAAAACTCCGAAAGAAAGTTTAGTCCTTCACGAACTTTTCCGATAAATCCTCAACGTGACATATTGGAGACCGACATCAAAAAACATCTTGGGTGTGTTGAAGCCTAGTACCTGTGGTAAAAGTTTGACTTCAACCTTATAAACTTTCGATGAAGTTGTCATGGTTGGGCTCAGGAAGCGTTTGAACGCAAAAGTCACTTTTATGATGCTCTTAATAAAATGCTTATCATTTTTGAAGTAAACATTGTGAGAGATGTGCAACCCAGCCCGTACCCGATCCGACCCGAAGGTTGGGTACGGGTCGGATATGGGTCACTTTTTTTATTAATGTACCCGAAAATCGGAAGATTTTAGTACAAAACCGCAACATTTCAGCGAAAAAATACAAGATTTTAGCTAAGATACATGAAGTTTTAAAAAAATTACTTGAGAACGTAATGATAACTTGACATCTCCAGCCGTAAAACAAAAGTTCTTAGTGGGAAAACGGAAAGGAGAAAATGTTTAGGCATAAGTCAGGTACGGGTAGGAAAACGGTAGCCGTACACATCTCTATATCAGAATGTTAAAAAATTTAGTGCTATGAAAAAGAAAATAATGTTAAAAGTTAAAAACTGGAGTTTTTTCAGTGTTAAGTGACACATTGAAAGATCCATATTTTCTTAACAAATGATAGCGGAGAACTTAAAAATATCTCAAGTTATAAAGGACACTTGAATGTGTCATACACCAGGCATAACTCAGTAGTTGATCTAGTGAAGTGATAACTCAAAAGAAATATACAGCAAGGTAATCAAGTAAGAATTCCACGCTGCAATTCGATGACAATGAACAATGATTTAGAAGAATGACTGGTGAAAATTTTACCGTAGGAAACTAACAATTAAAAGTGGTTTGTCGACTGATGTTTCAGTATACCTGTTAATACACACTCTACTCTACGAATGCACCTCAAACTTCGCTGTGCTCAACAGAAATTCAGTGGATGAAGTTTTGAAATCCAGACTGAAGAGATTAAAGATATTATTTCCAAAGAGAAACTTTTCGACTCAGGAGCGTATACAAAGATATTCGTCGAGGACATCAAACTACGTCGCAAAAATCCCGCTATGAAGTAGCGTCCTCGGCGAATATCTCTGTACACGCTCCTGAGTCGAAAGTAATTCGTTTGGGGAAGACTGAAAGATAACTGTGTTTACTTGAAGAGAATACCTGTTGCAGCTTTACATCAACTAGTATTTCCTATCTATTTCAAATTATAAGGACTCTGGCTGTTTCTGTATAACTTCTGATTTCATTCAATCAAATTCATTCTAAACAAACAATTTTATTACGCCATACACTCTTAAAAAAATGTGTTCTTCAGTTTTTCAGAGAACTGAAAAGTCAACGGGAATTTTGTTCTTCATTTATTCCAAATAGAAAACTCAAATTCTGTTCTTCGGCTCTCAAGAACTCTAAATTTGTTCTTCAGTTTTTAAAAAAATGATTTTTTTCGTTCTTTGAAAAATTGAAAAACAAATTTAGAGTTCTTGAGAGCTGAAGAACAGAATTTGAGTTTTCTATTTGGAACAAATGAAGAACAAAATTCCCGTTGATTTTTCAGTTCTCTGAAAAACTGAAGAACACATTTTTTTAAGAGTGTAATAATTCTGAAGACAAAAGATTTCTTTTCGATTGATAAATTAATCAAATTACACCATTCTTGTTCCATTCAAAAATTAATAAATCTAATGACATTGCTCTATCTAATGCTGTTTTTAATAAACCAACAAAGGCCTAATTAAAAAATCTGGTCTTATCAGTCCTCCCAGTTAGATGTTTGATTTCAAATAAAAACAACCCGAGATCTCTATCTTGAGCTGTGTTAAAAAAAGGGATTTACAGTGAAGGTTGGTTTTCAGCCTTAGACTCTAAAAAACTCCGGAACGGTAACAGATGGAGAGTAAAAAAAATATTGCGGCCACATCTTTGAGTATACAACATTTGCTGAAAGTTTGATCAAAATCGGATGTAAGACAAAAAAGTTTTTTCTGAGGGGGTCCTAAGTAAACAGGAGATTATACTTACGTTTTTTTGAGAAACGGACCCCTGATCCTAACAGTTCATTGTACGCTTACTTCTGCTAAGTAATCTGCGCTTACTTTCAGAGTTGCCACCTGTACAAGCCAGAAATCTGGAATCATAATCCTAAAATCCGCAAAGAAAAAGGAATCTTATTTTCACTGCCTTATTTAACCTTTTTCTATTGCGCAGAGTGCCAAAAAAGATTTTTTCTCTAGCTGTATATGCTTTTATTCGATAAAATACAAGAAAATAACAAACATAAATATAAATTTCGATTTTAATCGACACGCTGTTTTTGGAATGTATATTTTTGGTCCGAATGAATGAGTTTCAGCGGTTCTGGCTTTGATAAAAATAATTATAAATTTGAGTGCATGATAACGATGAGTTTAACGAATTTTTAATTCAGCTGCAATGAGTTCTGTCGACGTACACTTTCGTTTATCACGGCGAAACAGCCAAAAGAAGAAAATTCTCAAAATCCAGACAAATTACAGAAAAAACTCAAAAAAACCGAAGTTTGTTCGGATTTACCGGACAAGCGTGACAGCTATGCTTACTTCCATCTTTTTTACAAATGCTCACGAAATTTCAGATAAAGGAATGCATTTCTCATTTTCTGTATATAATGAGATAGAAATAAGAGTGACATTTTTTTCTTGATGTTAAACTAATAAAAATAAAGTGCCGTAAAAATAAATGCAGACGGTGTAACGACGATGTTCATCAGGTTAACAAAAAAACTCTTTAATAGAACGCTGCATGCTCTTTGCTACTCCATAAAACGTAAACAGTCTCAATTTTTCCAAAATATTCTGGTTTCTTTTTCTTTAGAATTTACCACGTGGCAGACAATTTATAACACGACATACGACATTAGACGTAACGGGAGCAATACAATAGGAATAAATCAACTACAGAAAACAATAGATTATTTAAAAAAAATTGTTATAGTGCTTGCTGTTGCTTTAGTTGATATAATATACACGAGTCTTGTCTAATAGAAATTTGCGCCCATGTTGGTGAAACCGGATCAATGATTAACCGCAGCTAACCGATTGTTTTTCTGGTTAATTGCGAGGTTAACCGTCGGTTTTTCTGCTGTGTTATTTTGGTTTCAGCTGAAATAACCGCGGTTAACCATCGATTCTTAAAATAACCGTGTTTAACCGCCGGTTTCGACAACATAGGGC